ATAGAATCCTCATCCACGCCTGCTCAACCCAATGTGCCGAAAGGGGCTAAGACTACTCAGACAAGCTCACATCAGGCCTCTCAGCAGCCCCCAGTCAGCTCATCAAGGCCTGTTACTCATCARACTTCTCGTCCTGCTCAGTCACGAGCTGCATATCCGTGTGACTGTTGTGGGCAAGACCACTACATCGCAGTCTGCCCAARGATGCGAAGCTATTCGGTCAACCAACGGGTACGGTTGATCAGGGACAGAAGTCTGTGYTGCAATTGCCTAGGCAGGCATAATTTAAGGAGGTGCAATAGCCGAATGCATTGCAAATCATGCAAAAACTACCATCATACCCTGTTGCATGGTGCAGACCTCTCAATCGTTTTCGAACCATCAGGAGATGACCATCAGACCGCTCAGGAGGTGTCTAGCACACCCGCTCCTTCAWSMAAGTCCTCTCAAGCATGAAGCTCAGAGCAGCTCTTTGAGAGTTGCGATCATCTCACGTCTAACTCAGCCCATCTCAGTCATCTCACATTGCTGGCCACAGCAACAGCAATAGTCGTCTCAGCCGCTTCAACAACTCAAGTTCGTCTGCTCATCAACCCTGAATCAGAAATCTCATTCATGTCAGAAAAGCTCACCCAGCAGCTCAAGTTGCAACGAAGGCACTCAAGGCTGGACGTTTATGGTGTCGGTGGAACACGGACGTCGCAAACATGAGGAATTGTCACGCTCAACCTTCAATCAAGGTATAGACCACTCACAGTGACAATTTCAGCTCACGTGTTAAAGACAGTCACCACCATCCTGCCGGCCATAAAGACTCAACAGGAACCCGAATGGCCACACCTGAAGGGTTTAACTCTCGCTGATCCAGAATTTCTCGTTCCAAGGGCAGTAGATGTCATAATCGGAGCAGACTTCTACGGCCAACTCATTAGGCCTAATATCATTAGGTACTCAGAGGGAACTCCCATTGCTCAATTATCAATATTTGGGTGGTTGGTCATAGGCCCAATTCAGGCACCGGTCACGCTTGCAAGGACAACTCATCTCGGCAGCTCTCAGGTATCAAACTCGTCCTTGCGAGAGTTGTTGACACGGTTCTGGGTCCAAGAAGAACCTCCATCATCGGACAACTCATCGCTTACTCCTGAGGAGCAAGAGTGTGAGCTTCACTTCAAGACCACTCACTCAAGGGACTCAACAGGGCGTTACATCGTCAGGATGCCTCTCAAATCGCCCCCAACAGTCCTGGGAGATTCTTATCAGACAGCTCATCGATCGCTCCAACGAATTCTCAGGCGACTTGGCAGCGACACTCAGTAAAGCCGATTGTACACTCAGTTCATGCGAGAGTATGAACAATCTCAGCACATGCTCAAGCTCGATGACATCTCAGTTGGTAGAAGGCCACATTACTATTTGCCTCATCATGGGGTAMTTAAGCCAGACAGCTCCACCACGAAGCTCAGGGTTGTTTTCAACGGTTCAAGTGCCAGCTCCACTGGTCACTCGCTCAATGACATCATGCATGCTGGTCCTAATCTGATGCTCAACATCTTTGACTTGCTCATTTGGATACGTCAACTCAAGTATCTCTTTGCGACTGACATCACTAAGATGTACCGGCAAATCAAGATACATCCAGATGACCAGGATCTGCAACGCATCGTGTGGGTGAATGAACAGCAGGAGGAATCTCATTTTCRGCTCACTACAGTCACGTATGGAACCAAATCAGCACCGTTCCTGGCTGTACGAACGCTCCTTCAGCTTGCTGAAGA